GCCATCAATACGGAGTCCCCACCAATGGCCATCAATACGGAGTCCCACCAATGGGCATCAATACGGAGTTCCCACCAATGACCATCAATACGGAGTCCCCACCAATGACCATCAATACGGAGTCCCCACCAATGGCCATCAATACGGCGTCCCCACCAATGGCCATCAATACGGAGTCCCCACCAATGGTCATCAATACGGCGTCACCCACCAATGGCCATCAATACGGCGTCCCCACCAATGGCCATCAATACGGCGTCCCCACCAATGGCCATCAATACGGCGTCACCCACCAATGGCCATCAATACGGCGTCCCCACCAATGGCCATCAATACGGCGTCCCACCAATGGCCATCAATAGGGGGAGTCCCCACCAATGGCCATCAATATACATATATACTACTCTTATTATATGATATCATCACTGAAGGGGGTACATCTCTATGCAGTGCAGGCAGATCATGGCTGAGGGGGAGGGGCCGGCAGAGTGCTGTACATAGCTTCCTAAAATATACCAGCACCCCGCCCCAGTACTCCTTTCAACACCTCTCAGTCCTGATGCACCTGTGCAAGACTGGGGGGGAGGAGCCGGCACACCTGTGCAAGACTGAGGGGGGAGGAGCCGGCACACCTGTGCAAGACTGAGGGGGGAGGAGCCGGCACACCTGTGCAAGACTGAGGGGGGAGGAGCCGGCACACCTGTGCAAGACTGAGGGGGGAGGAGCCGGCACACCTGTGCAAGACTGAGGGGGGGAGGAGCCGGCACACCTGTGCAAGACTGAGGGGGGAGGAGCCGGCACACCTGTGCAAGACTGAGGGGGGAGGAGCCGGCACACCTGTGCAAGACTGAGGGGGGAGGAGCCGGCACACCTGTGCAAGACTGAGGGGGGAGGAGCCGGCACACCTGTGCAAGACTGAGGGGGGAGGAGCCGGCACGCCTGTGCAAGACTGAGGGGGGAGGAGCCGGCACGCCTGTGCAAGACTGAGGGGGGAGGAGCCGGCACGCCTGTGCAAGACTGAGGGGGGAGGAGGCGGCACACGCTGTGCAAGACTGAGGGGGGAGGAGCCGGCACGCCTGTACAAGACTGAGGGGGAGGAGCCGGCACGCCTGTGCAAGACTGAGGGGGAGGAGCCGACACACCTGTGCAAGACTGTTGGGGGGAAGGAGCCGGGACAGACTGTGCAAGACTGAGGGGGAGGAGCCGGGACACCTGTGCAAGACTGAGGGGGAGGAGCCGGGACACCTGTGAAAGACTGAAGGGGGAGGAGCCGGGACACCTGTGAAAGACTGAAGGGGAGGAGCCGGGACACCTGTGCAAAACTGGAGGGGAGAGCCGGGACACCTGTGCAAACTGGAGGGGAGGAGCCGGGACACCTGTGCAAGCCTGGAGGGGAGGAGCCGCTACACCTGTGCAAGCCTGGAGGGGAGGAGCCGCTACACCTGTGCAAGCCTGAAGGGGAGGAGCCGCTACACCTGTGCAAGCCTGAAGGGGAGGAGCCGCTACACCTGTGCAAGCCTGAAGGGGAGGAGCCGCTACACCTGTGCAAGCCTGAAGGGGAGGAGCCGCTACACCTGTGCAAGCCTGAAGGGGAGGAGCCGCTTACACCTGTGCAAGCCTGAAGGGGAGGAGCCGCTACACCTGTGCAAGCCTGAAGGGGAGGAGCCGCTACACCTGTGCAAGCCTGAAGGGGAGGAGAGCGCTACACCTGTGCAAGCCTGAAGGGGGTGGAGGGGAAGGGAGGAAGAGGGGAAGGAGGAGGAGGAGGAGGGAAAAAAGGAGGAGGAGGAGAGGAAGAGGGGAAAAAGGAGGGAGGAGGAAGAGGAGGGGAAGGAGGAGAAGAGGAGGGGGGGAAGGAGGAGGAAGAGGAGGAGGGGAAGGAGGAGGAGGGGAAGGAGGAGAGGAGGGGGAAGGGAAGGAGGAGAGAGGGGAAGGAGGGGGAGGGGAAGGAGGAGGAGGGGAAGGAGGGGGGAGGGGACGAAGGAGGGGAGGGGGAGGGGAAGGAGGGGGGGAGGGGGAGGGGAAGGAGGGGGGGGAGGGAAGGAGGAGGAGGAAGGGGGGGAGAAGGGAAGGAGGAGGGAGAAGGGGGGAAGGAGGAGGAGGAGAAGGGGGGAAGGAGGAGGAGGAGGAAGAAGGGGGGAAGGAGGAGGGGAGAAGGGGGGAAGGAGGAGGAGGAGAAGGGGGGAAGGAGGAGGAGGAGAAGGGGGGAAGGAGGGAGGAGGAGAAGGGGGGGAAGGAGGAGGAGGAGAAGGGGGGGAAGGAGGAGGGGGGGGAGGAGGGGGAGGAAGGGGGAGGAAGGAGGAGGGGGAGGGGGAAAGGAGGAGGGGGAGGGGGGGGGAGGGATGGAAAAGGGGGAGGGGGAAGGAGGAGGGGGAGGGGGAGGAGGGAAGGGGGAGGGGGAAGGAGGAGGGGGAGGGGGAAGGAGGAGGAGTCTTGTCTTCCTCTACGTGCAGAACTGGTAAGATTAGCCCCCTGGGGGGGTTGTTTTCCTCCTGCTGGAGGGGGATGAAGTTGATGGGATTCTGCCGAGGAGATGCTTCCACCGGGTGAATGATCGGAATATGTGTACCTATTAGTCTGATATTAAAGTGGAGAGGAAGCTGCCTCCCCCGCCACCTAAATGACGTTTATTTTTCAGCCGCCGGACTCCTAATTACTGCCTGTACCACAGCACACAGCTGGAGGATGGGCTCCGGTCCCCAGAGAGGGGCGGACTTCCTCAGGGAGGGTGTCGGAGCCGAGCCATAACCAACACTTCATTAGCCGCGGCGCGGAGAACGGCGCTCAATCACAGATCAGAGGACTCCGCCGTCTGCAGAAAGTAATTTACCTACTTGAAGCGATCTCCTCCGCTCCGGAGACTGCCGGCACTCGCCGCATCATCATTATTTATAATAAAGTCTTTTCTGACGGATTCAACCCAAAAAGATGAAACGGCCGCCATCGGGGGAAGGGGGGATTAAAAAACAAAAAAAAACTTTACGTTTAACCACTTCCAGTCCGGACGCTTCCCCCCTTCCAGTCCGGGACGCTTCCCCCCCTTCCAGTCCGGCCGGACGCTTTTTCCCCCCCTTCCAGTCCGGATACGCTTTTCCCCCCCTTCCAGTCCGGACGCTTTCCCCCCCTTCCAGTCCGGACGCTTTCCCCCCCTTCCAGTCCGGGACAATTTCCCCCCCTTCCAGTCCATCCGGACACTTTCCCCCCCCTTCCAGTCCGGACGCTTTCCCCCCCCCTTCCAGTCCGGACGCTTTCCCCCCCTTCCAGTCCGGACGCTTTCCCCCCCTTCCAGTCCGGACGCTTTTCCCCCCCTTCCAGTCCGGACGCTTTCCCCCCCTTTCCAGTCCGGACGCTTTCCCCCCCTTCCAGTCCGGACGCTTTCCCCCCCCTTCCAGTCCGGACGCTTTCCCCCCCTTCCAGTCCAGTCCGGACACTTTCCCCCCCTTCCAGTCCGGACACTTTCTCCCCTTCCCAGTCCGGACGCTTTCCCCCCCCTTCCAGTCCGGACGCTTTCCCCCCCTTTCCAGTCCGACGCTTTCACCCCCTTCCAGTCCAGACACTCCCCCCCCCCCCTTCCAGTCCAGACACTCCCCCCCCCCCCTTCCAGTCCAGACACTCCCCCCCTTCCAGTCCGGACACTCCCCCCCCTTCCAGTCTGGACACTTTCTCCCCTTCCAGTCCGGACACTTTCTCCCCCTTCCAGTCCGGACACTTTCCCCCCCTTCCAGTCCGGACACTTTCTCCCCCTTCCAGTCGGACACTTTCTCCCCCTTCCAGTCCGGACACTTTCCCCCCCCTTCCAGTCCGGACACTTTCCCCCCTTCCAGTCCGGACACTTTCCCCCCCTTCCAGTCCGGACACTTTCCCCCCCTTCCAGTCCGGACACTTTCCCCCCTTCCCAGTCCGGGACACTTTCTCCCTACTTCCAGTCCAGACACTCCCCCCCCCTTCCAGTCCAGACACTTCCCCCCCCCTTCCAGTCCGAACACTTCCCCCCCTTCCCCCCCAGGCCAATTTTCAGCTTTCAGCGCGATCACACTTTCAGTGACAATTGCGTAGCGGTCATCATGCAACACTGTACACATTTTTTTTTTAGGCAGATAAAACTTTATTTTTATGGTATTTATTCACCGCTGGGATTTTTTTTTTTTGCTATATAAATTAACAAGTCCAAAAATTGTGAAAAAAAGTGTTTTTCTTATAAAATTTTGCAAATAAATAATCTGTCTTCATAAATCTTGGCCAAAATGTATTCATTATCTTTTTAGTAAAAAAATAAAAAATAACCCAAAATTAGTTTATAACCAAAAATTATGTTTCAAAATTTATTATAATTTATTTTTTTATATTATTTATGTTTTTTTTTTCTTAACATACTGTCACCCTAGCAGTACAGTGTCGCCATGGTGACACTGTACTACTTGTGGGGGGTGATAAAGATTTTTTTTTTTTTTACACTGATTGCTTTTACACCCATAAAGGCTGTAAGAAGAATCATTTCTCCTTCTCTCTGGCTGCATTCTTGCAGCCATTGAGAAATACTGTGAGAGCTGTGATTGGTCCCAGCTTGTCACATGGTACAAGGCTGTTGTGAATGGCCCTGTACTATGTGACCTCTGTGATCATTCACAGATTTCACACGTAGTAAGCAATGATGTCAGAAGTGACATCTTGCTTACTGCTGTTCATTATTGGCCAATCAGTGATCACATGATCAGGACCTCACACAGAGGTCCCATACAGCGATTGGTGTTCCACTGTGTCCTCCGGACAGAACGGGCACCGAATTGCGGTGCCCGCGCGCTCCTAAGGAACGCGCACAAGCAGGGAAGCGGGAGGACGTTTATAAATGGCCACCCACCCTTGAACTGCACCATTTATGTACACGGGCCAGACAGGAACTGGTTAAAAAAAAACATTTTAATTAAAAAAAAGAAAAATCATGTGATTCAGGGTGTTCCGTTTCCAATCCCCCTCATGTGATTCATATCATCAATGTGATTCAGGTGTTCCAATCCCCTCCATATCATGTGATTCAGGTGTTCCAATCCCTTCCATATCATGTGATTCAGGTGTTCCAATCCTCTCCATATCATGTGATTCAGGTGTTCCAATCCCCTCACAATCATGTGATTCAGGTGTTCCCATCCCCTCACAATCATGTGATTCAGGTGTTCCCAATCCCCTCCATATCATGATTCAGGTGTTCCAATCCCCTCCCAATCATGTGATTCAGGTGTTCCAATCCCCTCCCATATCATGTGATTCAGGTGTTCCAATCCCCTCCCAATCATGTGATTCAGGTGCTCCAATCCCCTCCATGGACACAGGTGTATACAATCAAGCCCCTAGGCATGCAGACGGCTTCTACAAACATTGGTGAAAGAATGGGTCGCTCTCAGGAGCTCAGTGACTCCAAGCGTGGGTCCCGTGATAGGTGGCCACCTGGGCAATAAGTCCATCCGTGACATTTCCTGGCTACTAAATATTCCACGCTCAACTGTTAGTGGGATTATAACAAAGTGGAAGCCACTGGGAACAACAGCCACTCAGCCACCAAGTGGTAGGTCACGTCACATGACAGGGCGGGGTCAGCGCATGCTGAAGCGCACAGTGCGCAGAAGTCACCAACTGTCTGCAGAGTCAATAGCTAAAGACCTCCAAACTTGGTGTGGCCTTCAGATGAGCCCAACAACAGTGCGTAGAGAGCTTCATGGAATGGGTTTCCATGGCCGAGCAGCTGCATCCAAGCCTTCCATCACCAAGTGCAATGCAAAGCGTCAGATGCCGTGGTGTAAAGCACGCCGCCACTGGACTCTAGAGCAGGGGACACGTGTTCTCTGGAGGGACCAATCACGCTTCTCTGTCTGGCCATCCGATGGACGTGTCTGGGTTTGGCGGTTGCCAGGAGAACGGTACTTGCCTGACTGCATTGTGCCAAGTGTAAAGTTTGGTGGAGGGGGGATTATGGTGGGGGGTTGTTTGCAGGGGTTGGGCTTGGCCCCCTAGTTCCAGTGAAGGGAACTCTTAAGGCGACATTTTGGACAATTTCATGCCCCCAACTTTGTGGGAGGAGTTTGGGGATGGCCCCTTCCTGTTCCAACATGACTGCGCACCAGTGCACAAAGCAAGGTCCATAAAGACATGGAGGAGCCAGTTTGGGGTGGAGGAACTTGACTGTCCTGCACAGAGTCCTGACCTCAACCCCATAGAACACCTTTGGGATGAATTAGAGCGGAGACTGCGAGCCAGGCCTCCTCCCCCGACATCAGTGCCTGACCTGACAAATGTGCTTCTGGAAGAATGGTCCAACCTTCCCATAGACACCCTCCTAAACCTTGTGGACGGCCTTCCCAGAAGAGTGAAGCTGTTATAGCTGCAAAGGGGGGGCCAACTCAATATTGAACCCTACGGACTAAGACTGGGGGGCCATTAAAGGTCATGTGTGTGGAAAGGGCGGGGCCAACTCAATATTGAACCCTACGGACTAAGGGGGGGCCATGAAACTCATGTGTGTGAAAGGGCGGGGCCAACCAATACTGAACCCTACGGACTAAGACTGGGGGGGCCATTAAAGGTCATGTGTGTGGAAAGGTGGGGCCAACTCAATATTGAATCCTACGGACTAAGACTGGGAGGCCATTAAAGGTCATGTGTGTGGAAAGGGCGGGGCCAACTCAATATTGAACCCTACGGACTAAGACTGGGGGCCATGAAAGGTCATGTGTGTGGAAAGGCCAGCGGAATACTTGGGGCCAGGGCGGGGCCAACTCAATAACTGAACCCTGAGGCCTTGTAAGACTCTGGGGGGCAAGAAAGGTCATGTGTGTGGAAAGGGTGGGGCCAACTCAATATTGAATCCTTTGGACTAAGACTGGGAGGCCATTAAAGGTCATGTGGTGTGGAAAGGGCGGGGCCAACTCAATATTGAACCCTATGGACTAAGACTGGGAGGCCATTAAAGGTCATGTGCGGGGAAAGGCCGGCCGCCCAATATTTGGGGCAATATGGGGCCATTAAATATAGTGTAGGCCGGGCCGGCCGCCCAATATTTGTATTGTACCATGTTTGGGGATTTCAAGTCATTTTGTAGAAAAACAAATGTGGATTTTAATGTGTATGAAAATAATTGGCCCAGGCAGCAGGTGGTTAGAGAAGGAAACTGAGGACATCACCGGGGAAATCCTGAACTCAGAATCCCAGCTGACAATGACTGCGTTGTGGGGTCAGGAAGCGATTTATTGATCCCCGGGGTGGGGGGAGGGGGGGGGGGGGGGGGGGGGGGGGGGGGGGGGGGGGGGGGTGTTTGGCCCCTCAGGACAGACTTGACAGGTCTCTTTATCTCAGCCTGTTGGACGGCCTGGGCTGCGATCTTGTTGCTTTCATTGTAATTATCCCAGAGAAATGCCAGCGGCTCGGTGTGAAAACAAAGGACGAGCCAGAGGTCGCGCCCTCTCCAGGGTGAATGTGTTTGCTTTGAGTTTCCCGAAATATCGGAGGGCGCCTCCCCCTGCCCGCGCCAACTCCGGAATGTTGGAAAAATAAGAGCGCCGAATGGGCAGCCAATGACACATACTGAGCCCCCGTCTATGAAAACACCATGGAGGAGGGGGCTGTCCTGTACTGGACGCTGGGGTCTCACTGAACCAATCATTAAAGGGCGCCTCCGATATGGAAGCCAAGAGATGCCCCGGCAGGTGCAAAGTAAGCCAAGCCACACCTGAAAAGCACATGGGGCACTCAGCGTGCCAGCCTGCTGCGATCTTCCTGTGTTAGACTGCATGCTTCCCCTGCAATGCAGTGCTACGTAACCGGGTGACAAACAGCCCACCTTAAAGGGCAAGTTCCCCTTTTCAGGGAAAAAAAAAAATTCCAAATATCCTGGCCACCCCTCCGGACCCCGCTGTACACTGCCGAGGTGGTCCCCTCTACACCTTCGTACACAGCCCCGGAGTGAGCATCCATCATAATGCTTGCAATGGCACTCATTGGTCAGCGCAGACACATGACTGCTGACCAATGAGAATTCATCTGAGGCTTTTTCTTCTGGCAAGGTGTCCCAGAAGAGCTTCTCACTGGTCAACATGGTCACATGGTTGCGCTGACCAATGAGAATTCATCTGAGTCTTCTTCTGGCAAGATGTCCCAGAAGAGCTTCCCACTGGTCAACAAGGTCATATGAGTGCACTGACCAATGAGAACTCAGCTATGGCTTCTTCTTCTGGTAAGGTATCCCAGAAGTACTTTTCACTGGTCAACAAGGTCACATGACTGGGCTGACCAATGAGAATTCATCTGAGGCTTTTTCTTCTGGCATGGTGTCCCAGAAGAGCTTCTCACGGTCAAACAAGGTCACATGGTTGCACTGACCAATGAGAATTAATCTGGGGCTGCTTCTTCTGGCAAGGTGTCCCAGAAGACCTTCTCACTGGTCAACAAGGTCATATGGGTGCGCTGACCAATGAGAATTCAGCTATGGCTTCTTCTTCTGGCAAGGTGTCCAGAAGTGCTTCTCACTGGTCAACAAGGTCACATGGTTGCGCTGACAAATGAACTCATCTGAGGCTTCTTCTTCTGGCAAGGTATCCCAGAAGTGCTTCTCACTGGTCAACAACAAGGTCACATGGGTGCGCTGACCAATGAGAACTCAGCTATGGCTTCTTCTGGCAAGGTGTCCCAGAAGAGCTTCTCACTGGTCAAAAAGGTCACATGGCTGCGCTGACCAATGAGCAGTTGCGTTTGTGAGCATGATGATGGATGCCTATTGACGTGTATGAAGTACGGATCACTGTGCTGATAGCACGGGGTATCATGGCCGCCACATGCCACGCATCCACAAGAGCGGCCAGGATATTTGGAGGTTGTTCCCCTTTTCATGTAAAAGTGAACTTACCCTTTAAATCAGACCTCTCCTCCCCCCACAGCAAAAACCCCAGGTGCATGCAACTCTCACACCATACAATTCCACTTCCTGGTCAAATGAAGCGCTGGTGATGTAGCCGGGGGCCTCACAGATGCATCCTGGGAAGGCTACGTCACCTGTGCCTTCCAAGGGAGGTGTGGTCTGTACCTTACAAAGGGGGGGGGGGCGTATTCCCAAAAGGAATTGGGGGGCTGAATTCTCGGTCTTCGGTACCCATTATAGAGATTTCTGACTCTGGTGGCTCCTCGGGGGCTGTACCCTGTAGATGGAGATGCCTGCTATTGGACGCCAGGATCATCCATGTGAACATGTTGGTATATAATTTGCTGGCCTGACACGCCCACCTTCACCTCCCGGGATTTGGATTATGAAGCGTTGTATGCAGTGCAGCACTCACCTTCTGGGCCTGGGCCGGCTCCGACAGCACCACGGTGAACAGTCCCAGACACACCTCCTCGTGCTGGGTGGGTCCTTTACAAACCTGAAACGGGAAAAGGAGAAAATATAATTATATACAATGCCTGACCAATCCGCTGCCTCTGCGCAGGAGCTTCCAGGGACGAAGACCGCTCACTGCTGCTCTCTCCTTGTGCAGAGGGACTGGTCTTGTCTCCGCCCCCTCCTGTGACCAATCCGCTGCCTCTGCGCAGGAGCTTCCAGGGACGAAGACCGCTCACTGCTGCTCTCTCCTTGTGCAGAGGGACTGGTCTTGTCTCCGCCCCTCCTGTGACCAATCCGCTGCCTCTGCGCAGGAGCTTCCAGGGACGAAGACCGCTCACTGCTGCTCTCTCCTTGTGCAGGGGGACTGGTCTTGTCTCCGCCCCCTCCTGTGACCAATCCGCTGCCTCTGTGCAGGAGCTTCCAGGGATAAAGACCGCTCACTGCTGCTCTCTCCTTGTGCAGGGGGACTGGTCTTGTCTCTGCCCCCTCCTGTGACAATCCGCTGCCTCTGTGCAGGAGCTTCCAGGGATAAAGACAGCTCACTACTGCTTCTCCTTGTGCAGGGGGACTGCTCTTGTCTCCGCCCCCTCCTGTACTTGTCTGCAAGCAGCCTGTAGAGGGTGGAGCCTTTTAGGCCCCTCCCACAGCTCTGCTCTCTTCTTGTGCAGGGGGGCTGGTCCGGTCTCCTCCCACTCCTGTACTTGTTCGCTAGCAGCCTGTAGAGGGTGGAGCCTTTTAGGCCCCTCCCACAGCTCTGTTCTCTCTTTGTGCAGGGGGACTGGTCTTGTCTCCGCCCACTCCTGTACTTTTCTGCAAGCAGCCTGTAGAGGGTGGAGCCTTTTAGGCCCCTCCCACTGCTCTGCTCTCTTTGTGCAGGGGGACTGGTCTTGTCTCCGCCCACTCCTGTGCTTTTCTGCAAGCAGCCTGTAGAGGGTGGAGCCTTTTCGGCCCCTCCCACTGCTCTGCTCTCTTTGTGCAGGGGGGACTGGTCTTGTCTCCGCCCACTCCTGTACTTTTCTGCAAGCAGCCTGTAGAGGGTGGAGCCTTTAAGGCCCCTCCCACAGCTCTGCGTTCTCACCTTGTGCAGGGTTCAAATTTTGTCTCAACCCCCCTCCTGTAATTATCCTATTGAGCCCCTCCCACAGCTATGCTCTCTCGCATCATGCAAGGTGACAGGTCTTGTCTCCACCCCCCTCTAATGTCCTCTAGTGGGTGAAGCCTATGCTGGGCCCCTCCCACAGCTCTGCTCTTCTTGTGCAGGGGTACTGGTCTTCTCTTCATTTCCCGCCTGTAGTTTTCTGTTGTGGGTGGAGCCCACAGGGCCACTCCCACAGCACTGCTCTCTCTGCTTGTGCAGGGGGACTGCCCTGGTCTCCTCCCCTCCTGTAGTTTTCTGTAGTGGGTGGAGCCTATAGGGCCACTCCCACAGCTCTGCTCTCTCTGCTTCTGCAGGGAGACTGCTTGTCTCCTCCCCCTCCTATAGTTTCCTGTAGTGGGTGGAGCCTATAGGGCCCCTCCCACAGCTCTGCTCTTTCTGCTTCTGCAGGGGGACTGCTCTCGTCTCCGCCCCTCCTGTAGTTTTCTGTAGTGGGTGGAGCCCATAGGGCCCCTCCCACAGCTCTGCTCTCTCTGCTTATGCAGGGGGACTGCTAGTCTCCTCCCCCCTCCTGTAGGTTTCTGTAGTGGGCGTAGCCTGCTGTCCCCCTCCCACTGCTCTCTCCTAATGCAAGGTGACTGGTCCTGTCTCCACCAACTCCTGCAGATTTATCTAGTGGGTGGAGCCTCTCAGGTTCCTCCCACAGCTCAGCTCTCTGCACAGGCCCAGTGATGTCATTGCCACGTTCACAAGGTAATATCTCTGGGTTTGTGAAGGTATTTCATGCTCAGAGTGGATTTACATATTTGGGGCTATGGAGGAACATATTCAGGAGGTGCACGCCCCCGAGGAAGAACTGTGAATGGATGAAAAGGCAGTAAACCCCCCCCCCATCCCCCGTGTGCTCCGGGGCAGAGCTGGAGGAAAGGCAGGAATGGATGAGTCCAGGACCGTGTGCAGTGCAGGTCAGGGGGGCTCTTCTGCTGGAGATCAGAACACGGAAGAGCGCCCCCCACAGGAGGGGCTGGCTGACCAGTAATGTGTACCACGCTTACCTGCATGGTTGCCCCAATTATTGCTTTTCAATCCCAGAACAAATCTTTATTTGGAGTGCTGAGTGTACGCGGTGCCTCCCCCTTCCCCTCCCGCGGCTCCTAATTTCACATCGTCATTCTCATTCCAGAATGTTCCAGGAGATTGGAGGAGATAAGAGACCGAGTTCTCAGAAAAAGAGAAGAGAGGCCCCCGCATCGGCAGCCAGGACCCCTCCTAACTCTCTGACCATCAGCCGTCACATCAGACCTCGCGCCCCTTTCTGCAGTTCTGAGGATGCAGCGGAGGGGTGCAGGTGGCACAAGATGGCGGCCACATGGCAAGGCTAAACTGAAGCTCCTCCAAAAAGAAGATTCCCCCAGTAGTTTGTGTTTCTGCCCCTCCCACAATGGGGAGGTTCCCCCCAGTAGTATGTGTCTCTGCCCCTCCCACAATGGGGAGGTTCCTTCCAGTAGTTTGTGTCTCTGTCCCTCCACAATGGGGAGGTTCCCTCCAGTAGTTTGTGTCTCTGCCCCCTCCACAATGGGGAGGTTCCCCCCAGTAGTTTGTGTCTCTGCCCCTCCCACAATGAGATGATTTCCCCCAGTAGAGTGTCTTTGCCCCGCCCACAACAGGGAGCTTTCCCGCCAGTAATTTGTGTCTCTGCCCCTCCCACAATGGGGAGGTTTCCCCCAGTAGTTGGTGTCTCTGCCCCTCCCACAATGGGGAGGTTTCCCCCAGTAGTTGGTGTCTCTGCCCCTCCCACAATGGGGAGGTTTCCCCCAGTAGTTGGTGTCTCTGCCCCTCCCACAATGGGGAGGTTTCCCTCCAGTAGTTTGTGTCTCTACCCCTCCCACAATAGGGAGGTTTCCCTCCAGTAGTTTGTGTCTGCCCCTCCCACAATGGGGAGGTTTCCCTCCAGTAGTTTGTGTCTCTGCCCCGCCCACAATGGGGAGGTTTCCCTCCAGTAGTTGGTGTCTCTGCCCCTCCCACAATGGGGAGGTTTCCCTCCAGTAGTTTGTGTCTCTACCCCTCCCACAATGGGGAGGTTTTCCCTCCAGTAGTTTGTGTCTCTACCCCTCCCACAATGGGGAGGTTTCCCTCCAGTAGTTTGTGTCTCGGCCCCTCCCACAATGGGGAGATTTCCCCCAGTAGTTGGTGTCTCTGCCCCTCCCACAATGGGGAGGTTTCCCTCCAGTAGTTGGTGTCTCTGCCCCTCCCACAATGGGGAGGTTTCCCTCCAGTAGTATGTGTCTCTGCCCCTCCCACAATGTGGAGGTTTCCCTCCAGTAGTATGTGTCTCTGCCCCTCCCACAATGGGGAGGTTTCCCTCCAGTAGTATGTGTCTCTGCCCCTCCCACAATGTGGAGGTTTCCCTCCAGTAGTTTGTGTCTCTGCCCCTCCCACAATGGGGAGGTTCCCTCCAGTAGATTGTGTCTCTGCCCCCTCCACAATGGGGAGGTTCCCCCCAGTAGTTTGTGTCTCTGCCCCTCCCACAATGGGACTCCAATCTGAATGTACTTACGTAAGCGTTGAGGGCGTCATTGGCCTCCCTCTCAGACACGCCGTTGGTCATGGAGGTCACCAGCGCCACACATCGCTCCAGACGCTGAAAGAGAGAAGAGATGAGTGAGGGCCAGCTATCGACACGCCCATCACACCGCCCACCATATCCGCCTGACACACCCACCATGTCCGCCAGACACACCCACCTTCCTCCCTCCACCCCCAACATGAAGATTCGGCGAGAAGTCAGCTGAGATTTGTTTTTTTAGCTTTGTCACCAGATCAAAATGAACAATTTAGAAGGAGGAGGCGGCATTTCCTCAGTCTCCTCCCCCAGTGATCAGACTGTACATTGTAACTTTGTAGAAGGGGAGGAGCCGGTACATCTGCGCAAGACTGAAGGGGAGGAGCCGGTACACCTGTGCAAGACTGAAGGGGAGGAGCTGCTACACCTGCGCAAGACTGGAGGGGAGGAGCTGGTACGCCTGTGCAAGACTGAAGGGGAGGAGCTGGTACGCCTGCGAAAGACTGAAGGGGAGGAGCCGGTACACCTGCGAAAGACTGCAGGGGAGAAGCCGGTACGCCTGTGCAAGAATGAAGGGGAGGAGCCGGTACACCTGTGCAAGAATGAAGGGGAGGAGCCGGTAAACCTGTGCAAGAATGAACGGGGGAGGGGGAGCCGGTACACCGGTGCAAGAATGAAGGGGAGGAGCCGGTACACCTGTGCAAGAATGAAGGGGGGACCTGTGCAAGGCTGGAGGGGAGGAGCCGGTACACCTGTGCAAGGCTGGAGGGGAGGAGCCGGTACACCTGTGCAAGGCTGGAGGGGAGGAGCCGGTACACCTGTGCAAGGCTGGAGGGGAGGAGCCGGTACACCTGTGCAAGGCTGGAGGGGAGGAGCCGGTACACCTGTGCAAGGCTGGAGGGGAGGAGCCGGTACACCTGTGCAAGACTGGAGGGGAGGAGCCGGTACACCTGTGCAAGACTGGAGGGGAGGAGCCGGTACACCTGTGCAAGGCTGGAGGGGAGGAGCCGGTACACCTGTGCAAGGCTGGAGGGGAGGAGCCGGTACACCTGTGCTGGAGGGGAAGCCGGTACACCTGTGACTGGAGGGGAGGAGCCGGTAAACCTGTGCAAGACTGGAGGGGAGGAGCAAGGCTGGAGGGGAGGGAGTTGGGCTTTAGGGCAGGAAGTTGCAAATCAGAGGGAGGCGTGGAATCCGGCGCGGTTGTAGGAGATTGATGGTAACGCGGCTCGTTCTCCCGCCAGCCGCAATGAGAAGGTTTCCCGGCGCTCTGTATGAGGGAAGATTGGTCTCCCGGGATCAGCAATTAATAGACCTCATGGATCAGACTGCATGTCTGGGGCCCCGGAGGGAAGATGAATATCGGCTCCGCAGAACACACATCACAACCCACTTAGTGACAGTTGTTGGCGGGGTGGTGGGATCAGTCACAGGTAGGGACAGCGGGGGGAGGGGATGAGGTCATGTGACCACCAAGTGAGAGCATTGGGTCAGGTCATGTGATCAGAGCCAACCAAGTGAGAACATGGTCATGGTCGAAGCCAATATGGTGAGGGCCATTGGGTTAGGTCATGTGGTCACTTAGAACCAATACATTGAAGGCACTGGGTCAGGTCATGTGATCACTCAGAGCCAATGCACTACCAGGACTGGCTCAATAAAGGGAACCTTCCGGAAGAGTTTCCCGGCACAGCCAAGGCTCCGGAACCCCAGCAGGAGGAACACGACCTGCCACCCCGGAACCAGCCCCTCTTCTGGGCATCAGCCAATGGCAGCCTTTAGCTTCGGTCTGGCTCCTCAGCTCTGTCCAGTGACGTTGGCTCAGCACACATTACCGCCCCCCTGACTGCAAGCGGTGACCCCGGAGTCTCCAATGAAAGAAGACGGACTTGAAGAGAAGGCAATTATGGGAGCTCCTGTGTGCTCCCCCGGCAGCCCCACCCCCAGCGCCGGCGGTGAAGGGTTACCCAGATTTGGGTTAGTACATGAAAGACCCCAATTATCCGGCGCAGAGACCAAAGCATTCCGGAGACGAGGCGCGCGGCGGAGCCGCTGAAAGTACAGAATATTACACATTCCCTTTGAGTTCCATCAGCTCAGGAAAACTAACAGCTCCTCCGGGCCCCGAGCCGCCAGTACAAAGGTTCGCTGATGGCGTTCCGAGGGCCCGCCGCATACAGAACGCTCACTAATGGGGAGAAGAGTCCCGGTTTACCCTTTCCTGGCCGGGAGATATGAAGCTACAGAGAGCGATGGATAGACAACTCAATGACCGGCCCACAGCCAACTGATGGCCATACACGGGGCAACGCTCAGACCGGCCCACAGCCAACTGATGGCCATACACGGGGGCAACGCTCAGACCGGCCCACACCCAACTGATACCCATACACGGGGCAACGCTCAGACCGGCCCACAGCCAACTGATGGCCATACACGGGGCAACGCTCAGACCGGCCCACACCCGACGGATACCCATACACGGGGCAACGCTCAGACCGGCCCACAGCCAACTGATGGCCATACACGGGGAAACGCTCAGACCGGCCCACAGCCAACTGATGGCCATACACGGGGCAACGCTCAGACCGGCCCACAGCCAACTGATACCCATACACGGGGCAACGCTCAGACCGGCCCAATGCCAACTGATGGCCATACACGGGGCAACGCTCAGACCGGCCCACAGCCAACTGATGGCCATACACGGGGAAACGCTCAGACCGGCCCACAGCCGACGGATACCCATACACGGGGCAACGCTCAGACCGGCCCACAGCCAACTGATGGCCATACACGGGGGCAACGCTCAGACCGGCCCACAGCCAACTGATGGCCATACACGGGGCAACGCTCAGACCGGCCCATAGCCAACTGATGGCCATACACGGGGCCACGCTCAGACCGGCCCACAGCCAACTGATGGCCATACACGGGGCAACGCTCAGACCGGCCCATAGCCAACTGATACCCATACACGGGGGCAACGCTCAGACCGGTCCACAGCCAACTGATACCCATACACGGGGCAACGCTCAGACCGGCCCAAAGCTGACTGATGGCCATACACGGGGCAACGCTCAGACCGGCCCACAGCCAACTGATGGCCATACACGGGGCAACGCTCAGACCGGCCCACAGCCACGGATACCCATACACGGGGCAACGCTCAGACCGGCCCACAGCCAACTGATACCCATACACGGGGCAATGCTCAGACCGGCCCACAGACGACTAATGGCCATACACGGGGCAACGCTGAGACCGTCCCACAGCCAACTGATGGCCATACACGGGGCAACGCTCAGACCAGCCCACAGCCAACTGATACCCATACACGGGGCAACGCTCAGACCGGCCCACAGCCGACTGATGGCCATACACGGGGCAACGCTCAGACCGGTCCACAGCCAACTGATGGCCATACACGGGGCAACGCTGAGACCGGCCCACAGCCAACTGATGGCCATACACGGGGCAACGCTCAGACCGGTCCACAGCCAACTGATGGCCATACACGGGGCAAACGCTCAGACCGGCCCACAGCCGACTGATGGCCATACTCGGGGCAACGCTCAGACCGGCCCACAGCCGACTGATGGCCATAGTACACGGGGCAACGCGCAGACCGGCCCACAGCCGACTGATACCCATACACGGGGCAACGCTGAGACCGGCCCACAGCCAACTGATGGCCATACACGGGGCAACGCTCAGACCGGCCCATAGCCAACTGATGGCCATACACGGGGCCACGCTCAGACCGGCCCACAGCCAACTGATGGCCATACACGGGGCAACGCTCAGACCGGCCCACAGCCAACTGATGGCCATACACGGGGCAACGCTCAGACCGGCCCACAGCCGACGGATACCCATACACGGGGCAACGCTCAACGCTCAGCCAACCGGCCCACAGCCAACGCTGATACCCATACATGGGGGCAACGCTCAGACCGGCCCACAGCCAACTGATGGCCATACACGGGGAAACGCTCAGACCGGCCCACAGCCAACTGATGGCCATACACGGGGCAACGCTCAGACCGGCCCACAGCCAACTGATGGCCATACACGGGGCAACGCTCAGACCGGCCCATAGCCAACTGATGGCCATACACGGGGCCACGCTCAGACCGGCCCACAGCCAACTGATGGCCATACACGGGGCAACGCTCAGACCGGCCCATAGCCAACTGATACCCATACACGGGGCAACGCTCAGACCGGTCCACAGCCAACTGATACCCATACACGGGGCAACGCTCAGACCGGCCCAAAGCTGACTGATGGCCATACACGGGGCAACGCTCAGACCGGCCCACAGCCAACTGATGGCCATACACGGGGCAACGCTCAGACCGGCCCACAGCCGACGGATACCCATACACGGGGCAACGCTCAGACCGGCCCACAGCCAACTGATACCCATACACGGGGCAATGCTCAGACCGGCCCACAGACGACTAATGGCCATACACGGGGCAACGCTGAGACCGTCCCACAGCCAACTGATGGCCATACACGGGGCAACGCTCAGACCAGCCCACAGCCAACTGATACCCATACACGGGGCAACGCTCAGACCGGCCCACAGCCGACTGATGGCCATACACTGGGCAACGCTCAGACCGGTCCACAGCCAACTGATGGCCATACACGGGGCAACGCTCAGACCGGCCCACAGCCAACTGATGGCCATACACGGGGCAACGCTCAGACGCCGGTCCACAGCCAACTGATGGCCATACACGGGGCAACGCTCAGACCGGCCCACAGCCGACTGATGGCCATACTCGGGGCAACGCTCAGACCGGCCCACAGCCGACTGATACCCATACACGGGGCAACGCGCAGACCGGCCCACAGCCGACTGATGGCCATACACGGGGCAACGCTCAGACCGGCCCATAGCCAACTGATGGCCATACACGGGGCAACGCTCAGACCGGTCCACAGCCAACTGATGGCCATACATGGGGCAACGCTCAGACCGGCCCATAGCCAACTAATACCCATACACGGGGCAACGCCAAGACCGGTCCACAGCCAACTGATGGCCATACACGGGGCAACGC